CTACCTCCCCGCTCTTCGTCTTCGGCTCCGGCGCCCAGTCTGCCATCCGCTGCTTCTCCCCTCGCGCCCTCCTCCTCCTCCTCCTCATTCTCCTCCTCCTCCTCCTCCTCCTCCTCCTCCTCCTCCTCCTCCTCCTCCTCCTCCTCCTCCTCCTCCTCTCCTCTGCCGTCGTGGCCTCCACCCGTGCCCCTCGGACCTGCGGCCTCCACCCTCCGGCAGCAGCCCAGGGGAGCCTCGCCTTGCGTCGGGCCTGTCCCTCTGCAGGAGGGACGCTCAGAAGCAGTAGAGCAGAGGAGGAGGAGGAGGAGGAGGAGGAGGAGGAGGAGGAGGAGGAGGAGGAGGAGGAGGAGGAGGAGGAGGAGGATGAGGAGGAGGAGGAGGAGGAGGCGGCGGCGGCTCAGAAGCAGTAGAGCAGAAGAGTCTGGGGACTATCCTAAAAGTATGTTTTGAACATTTTGGGAGCATGTTTTGAGCATTCTTCATTATTTCCCCAAATCCCCCTTTCGGGGGACGGGCCCGACCTAAGCCTCGTCCGTCTTCGCAGCTCCGCCTTTCGGGCGCCTAGCGCCCGGCAGTCGGTGAGAGAAGCGCCCATGCGGCGTCGACTTCGCGTCGATTCGGCGTCGATTGCGCGTCGACGGAGCGTCGACTGGCGTCGATTTGCGTCGATTCGCAAGAGGCAACAAAGGTAGATTGCGCGTCGACGGAGCGTCGACTGGCGTTGATTCGCGCCGGTTCGCAAGAGCCAAGAAAGGCAGTACGAGAGGCCCCCCATGAGTTGCCACCGAGCCGTCCCCAGGGACCCCAGGCGCAGCGTTTTTTGTTTTCCTTCTTGTTATTGTTTTGTTTTTCTCTCTCTATATCTCTCTCGCTCTATCTATCTCTCTCTCTATCTCTATCTCTATCTCTCTCTATCTCTCTCTATCTCTTGTTTCGGTATTGTTTTTCTCTCTCTCTCTCTCTCTATCTCTCTCTCTCTCTCTCGTCTCCGGTCCATCGTTTCGTGACGACGTTTCGTGCTCTTGTGACCTGATGTTGGGGGTATGTTGGACACATTTTTTTCCTTCAAGATCCGCCTGGAGGAGGACGTGCTCGACCAAAGGCTGGGCCTCGGATGCCCCCGCCTCACATGTTGAGAGACGCACCAATTGTTGTTTTCTTTTTCATTACTTATTCGAATACAGTCGGGGCGCTGAATCAGGAACCCTTTTCGTTGGGGAGGGGCTCGGTGTCCCTTGCTTGTTTCACAGTTTTCCTCAGATTGTCCCTAGGTTTTCGATGGGAAGTCGAAGGTTAACTTCTGGAGAAAAGGGGCCTCGTTCCTTATTTTTGGTTCCTTAGGTCAACGCTCCGACGGTATCCGCCTGTACCGATGCATCGCCGATGCGGCGCGATCCTCCGACCCCAGGTGCTTGGACCGCATTGGGGAGGTCTCTAGTCTTGCTGTAGGTTCGCGTCGGGTCGACCGGCGGCGACCTCGCCGCCTGCGTTCAACGTTGAGCGCCGCCAGCGACTAAGAATCGTTCGATGTTGAACGATCTGAAGTTTCGGGAACTGCAGATCGTTCAAGGCTGAACGATCTCCGAGGTGTCAGGGACCAACGCCGGACCCAGACCCCCGATGTCATGTTGGTTTCGAAACGTCGACCCCCAGAGATCTCGACTCATTCCTGGGGACTGTTTTTTCATCCTGAGTCGTTTTTTGACGGTCCCGAGGCCCAGTACGGGCCCCAGAGGCCAAAGAAAACGGAAATATTGATGCCGACTCGACTCGAACCCGCGGTGCACCATTTTCCGAATGTTAGAGCTGTTTTTCCCGGAAAGGGCCTGAATCCAGGGTTCTCGTTTTGTTTTTTTACACTTGTCCCTAGATGCTATGTTTGGTGGGTGGTGGTGGAATTATTTGCGATAGATAACGAGGTAAAGTTTCATTCTGCGCGGGAAACATGCGTTTCGCGCGTCTCCGCTCGAGGAAATTGGACGCCCCATGTCGGATCCGGGATAAATAACAGAGTCCCTAGTGATCTTCGTTTTCCCTTGTAAACAGCATGGTGCCGAGCGTTGTCCGCAGAATCTATAATGAATGACGTGGTCTGGAAACTTTCGAATTCAAACAACAATATGGACATGTTGACTGTGTGCGTCCCCGCTCGAGGATGGCGCGTTCTGCGCGCAGAAACTTTGAGGATGTCTCGAGGGAAACGCTCGTTTTGGAGAAGTGGGGAGACCGTCCCTTTCGCCCCAGTCCTTTTCGCTTCAGGGCGGAGCATGCGTGAAAACACGTGGGACACTTTCGCCTCAGGGCGCGGCAAGCGTGAAATCACGTGGGCCCCATTCGCCTCGGGACAGAGCAATGATGAAAACACGTGGGTTCCTTTTTTCCCACGGCGGAGCAAGCGTGAAACCACTCCCTTACGCTTGCTGCGTTCTGGGACGAAAGGGGCCCACGTGTTTTCACGCTTGCTGCGCTCTGGGGCCAAAGGCACCCACGCGTTTCCACGCTTGCCGCGCTCTGGGGCGAACGGGGCCCGCGTGTTTTCGCGCTTGCTCCGCTCTGGGACCCATGTAATTTCCCCCTTGCTGCGCACGCTTGCTGCGCTCTGGGGCGAGAAGCACCCACGCGTTTCCACGCTCGTTCCGCTCTGGGGCGAGCTTGCTTCGCTCCGGGGCGAAAGGAACCCGCGTGTTTTCACGCTCGCTGCGCTCTGGGGCGACAGGGACCCACGCTGCGCCCACCCAGAGCACGACAGTTGCGAGGACGCCGAGCCTCTGGACCTCCTCCCGCGTGCTCCGTCCCTTCCAGAGCGCGACCGTTGCTAGGATTCTGAGCCTCTGGACCTCCTCCCGCGTGTTCCCCCCCCCCCCGGTCAGAATGCAATCGTTGCGAGAACTCGGAGTTTCTGGACCTCCTCCCGCGTGTTCGGCCCCCCTCCAGAGCGCGACGCGTGCGAGGGTTCCCAGCTTCTGGACAGCCTCCCGCGTGCTGCGCCGCCCTGGGCCATGGCGGGGAAGAGGGCCGCCCAGAGTGGGCATCCGACGTGGTGGTCCCAGGCTGGAGCCAAGTCTTCGCGCGTCCAGGCCAAACAGGGGGATTAGGGGGATCTCCATGCGAACCCTGCCCCCCTGCCCCCCACGATTTCTGAGGGGGAGGGTGGGGTTCACTCCATTCAGGAGCTCCCGAGCGAAGTGAACCCCACCCTCCCCCTCAGAACTCGTGGGGGGTAGGGGGGGGGTTCGCATGCGGCCCCCTAAAACATGTGGTCGCCTTTTTCTTTTGTAAAACATATAACGCCTGAGCACATTGTGAGGGCGCCTCGAGCGAGGTCTTCGGCACGGGGTCGGATCCTGAGCTCGAGCTGGTCGAGCACCCGCGCGCGGTTCGGTTGCAGCTGGCCCGAGCTGTGCGGTCGGGCAGCCCGAACGCGAGATCCAGATCAGTTCGGTCAGGATCCTGACGCCAATCCGAGGCCCGAAAACCATCACTTCACTTATTTTGGGCCCCAGGTCCCACTGAGGCCCCAGGGGCCCCAGATTAGTGAAGTGATGTTTTTTTCCCACGTAAGGACCCCGAAATTCATCACTTCACTAAACCGAGCCCGGGACGAAAGTCAGGGGCCGAATTGCTGCTGTGATGCAACATCGGTCTCGTAGCCAAGGACGGCTCGACCCACAGTGCAACAGCGCACGGCACTGTTCAGCGCGGCATGCACCTGGAGGAAAACACCCGCCCTCCCGAAGGGGCACGGCTCGAGAGCCGGCGGCCGACGCGACCGCAGTGCGCCTGGCACCACAGTCTGGGGGGGGGGGGGGGGCGCGCTGCGTGATACCCCCCCATCCCGTCCCACCGCCCCCTCCCCCCCCAAGACCCCCTCGAGTCCAGAAAAAAAATCACGACGGAAGGTTTGTCGCTATTTTCAGCCTCTGGGGGCCCTTACCCGGCCTCGGTGCCGTGAACAAAACGATTCAGAATGAAATACCGGTCCCTGGGAACGGGTCGAGACCTCTGGGGGTCGACATCATGAAAAAGTCCTGACGTGGGGGGTCTGGGCCCCCATGGCGCCCATTATGGCCGAAACTCTGAAGATGCGCTCTCGGAAGCTCTCCTGCCTTCGCTGCGGAAGCCTCCTTCGGTTCTTGGCAGCGGGCCGCTGTCTTTGCCATCCGGGGCGTTCCAGAGAAGGGCCCTGCGAGGGAGAGTTGCCGTCTCCTCCTCGGCGGAAGGCGGGTGAAGGGCGGCGGAAGCTGGCGGAGGTAAGACGAGGCCGGCTCCGCACGCGGAAGCCGGCGGAAGGAAAAGTTGCGTCTCGGGCGGGCGGCAACGGGGGGAAACCCAAGTGGGGGGTGAAGAAAAATGCCCCAAAGGGGTTTCTCTTCACCCCCCATGTGGGTCTTCCCCCATTACCTCCCGCCCGAGCGTCCCCGAGAGATGGCAGCATTTTTGAGTCAGGGTGTCTGGAACCCACCACATCTTACCGTGCCTCGGTCTCTCCTGTCTCTCCTCCTGCTCCCTGGCCGCCCCCCGTCCCCATGTTGAATATCATGCGCCGCTCGTCGGACGGCGCGGTCAGAATATGTCTGTCTGTAGTAAAGTGCATGAATTGTTTGTGTGTTGGTTAATTTTCGATGCATGCCGTTGCTAGTGTACTGTAGTTGTGTAAATATGACGCGCTCGAGGCGCCTCTAGTGCGGAGGTGGAGAAGGTGAGAGGGTGCAGCGCGAGGTGGAGAAGTATGAGGAGGAGGAGCAGGAGGAAAAGGCAGGGGGCGTTCAAGAGAGGAATGGTGACCAGGGGGGTAGGTGACCATGGCGGGGGCCATGCTATCCCACCCGGTCTCATAGCTTCCTTGCTGATTTCAATGCCTCGCTTGGCCGCCCCTGAGCTGCACGCGCTCCTCGGGCCATGACTTGCCAACCTACCCTTCTTGGACGCCCCCTTGCCCGACGCCCCCAATCGACGAAAGACCGACTGCAGAATCATACGATCTCGGATCTCCGCGCGAAGTTCTTGGATCGGCGCCAGGCACCACCTGGCGGCGCTTCTGGCGCCGTCCTTCGCCGCCCCTGGCGCGCGCCAGGGCGGGCGGGGGGGATCAGCGCAGATAGAAGGAATCCGCGCGGACCTCCAACAGTTTGTGCTTATGCCGCCGTTTCCCTCCAGAGAGGGAGGGGGGCCATACGAAGGCGTGATCCCGCTGCCAGCGGTGCTGAGAAGTGATGGGCGCGAGAGGGAGGATGTCAGCTGTGGCGCGAGCGCGCCTAGCTTAACCGAGAATCAGGGATCGGGGACCGAGGACCGAGGATCGAGGACCGAGGATCCAGGATCGAGGAGGAGGAACACGAGGAGGAGGAGGAGGAGGAGGAGGAGAAGGCGGAGGAGGAGGAGGAGGAGGAGGAGGAGGGGGAGGAGGCGTAGGACCAGTGTAAACCCAAGAGTCATCAACGATGTTGGAATTATCCCTCCCTCCAAGCTCCCCCTCCATAGGCCCCTACAACGGTTCATGTCCATTGAGGGAAGTGCCTCGTTGGAAGACAACCGTCTGAAGATCCTGAAGCATGCCAAAAAACTGTTCTCGGGATTTCAACGCCACGCATCAATCTGACTGCTGCGTCTTTTCGATCCGGAATCGTGCCAGAGGGCTTTTTTGGGGACTTCAACACCGCGAACCAACATAATTCTTGCACCCGCATAATCCCGAATCCTGCCAAAACGCAATTTCTGGTACGTTGACCATGGGAATCCGTGAAACTCTGTTTGAAAACGAATGTGCGCGGCGCTAAAGCGAGAGCCATATGTTGACAAGGAACCGCCCTCAATCCGGAAAACTCTTGCAAATGTGTATAACGAATGTGCGCGGCGCTAGGGCGAGAGCGGCATTTTGAAAAGGTACCGCCCTCAATCCGTGAAGCTCTTGCAAATATTTTCGAATGTGCGCGGCGAGAGCCACCTTTAGAAAAGGTACCGGCCTCAATCCGTGGAGCTCTTGCAAATGTGCAAAACGAATGTGCGCAGCGCTAACGCGAGAGCCACACTGTTGTCATTTGGTTAAGCTTCAGGGTCATACATGGTGAGGAAGTCTCAGGCGAAACGCCCGGCCCGCGTTAAAAGCTGGCCTCGGGGTGCGACAGGGAGAAGTTGCTTATAAGAAGAAGGATTTGAGGGGGGGAGGAGGAGGAGCAGGAGCAGGAGCAGGAGGAGGAGGAGGAGGAGGAGGAGGAGGAGGAGGAGGAGCAGGAGGAGGAGTAGGAGAAGGAGGCTTTCATCCCGTTGCCAGTGCTGTCCACGGTGGTGGTGGCGCCTGCAGATGTGGCGGGTCTTTGGCCCCGAAGGGAACCCGGAGGACCCCTTGAGGTCAGGTCTGGGCGGACGGCAGTGGGGCTCCTCTTCCCCAGTCTTACGTTGGGCGAGCAGTAAGGCCAGGATTGTGGCGTTCAAATCTCCTCCCCCCTCCTCCTCCTCCTCCTCCTCCTTCTCCTCCTCCTCCTCCGATTGCCTCCAAATCGGGGTCACTTTTTTGCCAGTGGTATTCCCTGTGGGCCCCGGAGACTCTTGGGCCTCTCAAGTGGTTCTCAAGCGCATGGTCCGTTGTTCTTTTACTGAGGGCCCTCAGTGTGCGTTCCTCTGAGGCTCTGGCACTCCATCGGATCATTGGTGCTGCTCTGCTGCTGTTGCTCCGCCTCCTCCTCCACCTCCTCCTCCTCCTCTGTCCTTGTCCTCCTCCCTTCTCTCTCTTCCTCCTCCCCCCTCCTTCCTCCTCTCCTTCCATGCCATCCTTTCCTTTTCCTTTTTCTTCTTCCTTCTTCTCTTCCTTTTCCTGCTCCTTCTCCTCCTCTCCTCCTCTCCCTCCCCTCTCCTCCTTCCTTCCTCCTTCCTCCCTTTCTTCTTCCTTCTTCCTTCTCTTCTTTCCTGGCCTCCTTCCTCATCCTCCTTCCTCCTTCCTCCTTCCTCCTCTTACTTTTTCATCCTTTCCTCATCCTCCTCCCTCCTCTCCCTCCCTCGTTCCTCTCCTCCTCCTCCTTCTGCTTCTCCTCCTCTCCTCCTCCTTCTCTCACTCATGCCTCCTCCCTCTCCTCTCCCTCCCCCTCCTCCTCCTCCTCCTCCTCCTCCTCCTCCTCCTCCTCCTTCTCTTTCCTCCTCCTCCTCCTCCTTCTCCTCCTCCTTCTCCTCTCTCGGTCCCCGGTCCCCGGCCCTCGGCCCCCGATCCCCGATCCCCAGTCGTGCGAGGTGCGCACGCGCCGATGCTCCCTCCGCCTCCTGTCTTATCGCGCCGATGCTCCCCCCCCCTGCCCGCCGCCGCGTGCAGGCGCGCTGGGGATCGAGGGCGGGTCTGGGCAAGCCTGCAACAGACTCTCGAGAGGCGATTTGGGGGGGAGGAGGAGGAGGGGGAGGAGGAGGAGGAGGAGGAGGGGGAGGAGGAGGGAGGAGGAGGAGGAGGAGGAGGAGGAGGAGGAGGAGGAGAAGGAGGAGGAGGAGGAGGAGAAGGCGGAGGGGGAGGAGGAGGAGGAGGAGGAGGAGGAGGAGGCGGAAGGCCACCCGGCGCGCCCCGTGCCGTCAGACGAGCCGCCGCGGCAACCTTCCCCTCCTCCTCGGATTTCTTCTCAACGATGTGACGGACCTGACAAGCTCTTGAGAGGCTCCTGGGACTCCGGAAACAGCGCTTAGGAGGTTAAGTCCAGCATCGGCGCTGGCATAACCAGCCGGATCCGGTGGAACCCCGCTTGGTCTAGCTGAGTCCCGCCCAATCCGGCTTCGTCCCGGGCTTGCAATCTGGCCCGATCCGGCTTCCTGCCATCGCATCGCAGTCGTGCTCAAGAGCCCTTCGAAGACCTCCCAGTAGTTGCCCCCTCGTACGACAGGGCTGGACCTAATCGTTATTTTGCTGGATGTCGGGCCTCTTTTTTTCGCTTCGGCGGAGAGTCCCAGGGGAGCAAGCAGAACAACTTGAAGAAAACATAGGAAAACGAAACGAAAACCACCTTCTGGGTCCAGCACTGCAGTACGAGAGGCTCCCGAGGGACACCTAAGAGGATCCCGCGAGGCTCCCGAGGCGGAGGGGGGGGGGGGGGGGCAGAGGCCCATGCCCCGAGCAGGGGATCGACTGCAGTATTGATCTGTCCCGAGCTTGATTGGTTCGTCGAATCCGCAAGCACATTTCGCAGGGCCTGCGTAGATCCGCGCGGATCCTGCGCACGCTCCATAGGTTCGACGAACGGGCCAAATTTTGGGCAAGTCCATCCTGCAGCCGATCCCCTGCTGGAGAGCACCCCCGACGTCCGCCAGGACTTCTCCACGAGGCCGACCCCCGGAAGCCCCGACCCGCTCCCGGGTTGGGCGCCGCGTAGTGGGGGGGTCGTAAATGGGGGGGTGTCGCGGGTGGTCCGAAAAGGTACCCAAACGGTACCTAAACGAGCCCCCTGGGGCTCCGGAGGGGCCCGAAAGGGGCACGAAAGGGGACCTTTTTTGACCCCCCATTTGTGACCCCCCCATTAAGCCACGCCCAACCGGGGGGCCCGCTGCTCCTCCCGAGAGCCCCGAGGCCCGGGGCGACGAGGGCCCCGAGGGGCCGACAGCGATTGGAACCACCCGCCGGGGGGGCACGCGCGGGGGCGGAGGAGGAGGAGGAGGAGGAGGAGGAGGAGGAGGAGGAGGAGGAGGAGGAGGAGGAGGAGGAGAGGAGGAGCAGGAGCAGTAGCAGGAGGAGGAGGAGGAGGAGGAGGAGGAGGAGGAGGAGGAGGAGGAGGAGGGGGGGAGGAGCAGGAGGAGCGGCGACTGCACTTCGGACGGGACTATGTCAAGCAGTGGCGAAGCGTCCTGGCTCGCCTATAGCCCCACCAAGCAGTGTTCTAAGAACCTCTTGTGGTTCCCACGAGATGTTCTTAGAACAATTCTGGCTGGGACTGTCTTGTTTTAACACATCGGGTTGATGTTCTAAGAACATTTTTTGTTCTTGGAGCATTTGTGGGTTCTAAGAACATTGCGCGGTATGACTATAGGAATGCCGGGACGGTCGGTCCCTGTTCGAACTTCGGACGGGACTATAGGGCCAGGATGAGGCCGTTCCAGGGCGTTCCGGGACGCTCTCGGAGCGCTCCGAGATGCTCTGGGAAAGCCACGGCGCCAGAGACATCCTCCAGCGTCGCCGGAGTACAGAGAATCACGATTCATCCTCGCCCTGGCTTCGTCTTAAGAAGTGGTGTGGTGACGCCAGGATGTGGTTTGCGATCGGCGCCGCCGGGGCTTACGGTCGCCCCGCTGCGCCAAGGGTCTGAGGAGCCTTCGCGCTGGGCTTGGGCTTGGCAGAGGTCTCCGTCGAGGTCCTCGCCCCCCCCTCCCCCCCGGCGCGGGTCGCAAACCGCACCCCTCGGAGTCGTCGACCACGGCCAGGCGGAAGGGTGGTGGGGGGGGAGGAGGCCAGGCAGTGCTGGGCGGAGACTTACAGCGCGGCTCGTGGCGCGTGCTGGGCGGTGCGCCAGCTGCACGAGCCCCACCGCCGCCGCCGCTCGGGCTTCCCAACACAGGGGCCTTTCCGCGTCCCGCCGCTGGCCGCATCGCCTTGCGACGGCGCCGCTGGCGGCGACGCGCGCCTTTGCCGCGCGCCGTCTTCTGGGGCAACGTTAGGGGGGGATGGGGACAACTTTAGGGGGGGATAGGCTTAGGGGTAAGGACCGAGGGTCAGGTTTTTCGGACGTTTTCGTCGACTCTCGGCGGCTTAGCAGCCTCGGGATGCTCTCCAGAGGGCGCTCCAGGGGGTGCCTGGATCGCCCCGAACGGCCACCTGGGAGCCGAGCTGTGACCCGAAAGCCACGGGGCAAAGGCAGGGGGGGGGGGGGGAGGGGCTCCGGGGGGGAGGCATCGACCCCAGGTCGCCCACTCATCGCCCATGGGGGCCCGAGAGCCCACCCCGCCCCGGAAGGCGCGGCTTCGCCGTCGGGGGCATGCCTGCGAGGCGTGGGCGATGTGTTGCCGATTCCGGGTCAACGCTTCCCCTTCCTGGGCAGGCCCCGTGGTGGTCTTCGGGCCGTGCCCTGGGCCTGCAGCGGCCGTGCGCGGGAGGATCCGGGGAACTCCGTGGAGCGCTCTCGGCGAGGCGCAGCCACTGGAGGGTATTCCGAGGCTGAAGAGTCAGGAACCCCAGGAGGAGGAGGAGGAGGAGGAGGAGGAGGAGGAGGAGGAGGAGGAGGAGGAGGGGGAGGTGCTGTGCTTGTCCACTTCTTGGTGGCAAGTGGCGGTCCAAACGCCGTGTAGGTATTGTTTCCAGCACCTGGTGCCCAGAGGACCGGCGCCTGGAAATCATGCACGCTCCGTTGTCCCGTGGCGCCCCTGCGGAGTCTCCTGGGGCAGGGCCCAGACACTTCAGCGAACACTTCCGCGCGGCTGCCAGAAAAAACTCTCGAAAATTCCCAGCCATGAGCCTCGAACCTACCGTTACCCCTCCCGTCTGTGGCAGCGCGGCCGCGTCGCCTCTCCGCGCTCGCGTGGGGGGAGGCCCCGTCTGCTCGGGTCGTCCGCCGCCCCGCCGTCGTGCATCGAGCAGCTGTGCCGGCCTCGAGCTTTGACTTCGACGGGCCTTCGCCGAAACAGAGAGAACAGCCCAAGCACGTAGCTGCCCTGATACGACCGTGTTGACACGCAACGCGTGCCGTGCTCAAGGCGTCCGTGTTAACACGCTGCGCGTTGTTTCGGCACGTGCTTGCCCACGTTTTGGCGAACGTGGCACACCGGACCCATGTTTTCAGTCTACGTGTTGAGCTCTGTGCCAACACGTTACGTGTTGCGTGTGGCGTATCGGGGCAGCTAAACCCAAACATGAACTGTCGGAACTCCGCGCGGATTTATTGCAACCAATCCGCGCGGACCTCCAACAGTGTATGTATATGCAGTTGGTTGGTCCTCTATGTCGTGGAAACGTAAGACTCGAGTTCGCTGGAACTCGGGTTTGCCGACGCTTTTTGGCGAGCCCGTCCTGGACTTTGACGGTCCAGCTCTCGTGGGATGTTTGCAGCAGGAGGTGGCGTCAAATTTCAGATTGGTCCTCGTCATTTTCCTGACGGCCCCGTCATGCCAACCCGAGCCCCCCGAGCTCGAGCTGAGTCCAGAGCTGACACAAGAAATCCGCGCGGACCTCCAACGGCTCCTTCACCTTCTTATGCTTTCGGCCCCCCTGTGGCGAGCAGCAGCCGGCCGCCGCCGCTGTCTCGGGCGCTGCGCAAGGGGGGAGGGGCGATACATGGGGGGGGGGGGAAGGGAGGTGCACCTGTGGTGGCCTACAGGGGCCCCATGGGGCCCACGAGGGGCACGAACGGTGCACGTTTCGCACCCGAACGGTGCACGTTTCGCACCCCTCCCCCCCTCTCTCCCCCCCCTCCCCTCCTTCGAGCGACGGCGACGCAGAACAACCTGGTCGTCTTCACCAGCACTGGCGCGTAAGCTGCCCGCGTGAGGTCGCGCGTGGGCCACCGCGTGAGGTCGCCGTGCCATCTCGCGTGAGGCCCGCTTCTTGTCGTCGCTCGTTCAGCGCCTCCCCATCAGGCCACGCCCGATCGTTGTCCTCCTCGCGCTTCGGCGAATTGGGTCGCCTCGAGGGAGAACGGGGTGCTTGGGGGACGGGGATCCCGGATGTCTCGTTGCCCGCCGTGGTTGACTCGCCCGCCCCGCGGCTCTCCCGAGCCGCTCGGCCGACAAGCAATGACTCAGGATGAAAAGCTTGTCCTCGATCAAGTTGAGACAACCAGGCCAGACGATGACAGCACTCCGATGCACGTGTGTTGTCAGGCTCGTGCTGGCGTTTCGTCCCCTGTGGGACTCTTCTAAGCCAAATCGACAACTGGTCATGTGCACGTAAAGGCATGGAAACATGGCTCCAACAGGTGCTAGAAGTTACGATGGTAACAACAAGTTTTGCTGACCCTGCCATCTCCCAATCTCAGTGTTTAGTTGCGCACGCGGCATCGCGGACGCTGGCGAAAAGCATGATGTCGCTCCGGCCTCAACATCGACATTTGGGGGTCTAGTGATCCCCTCGGGCGCTTTCAGTTTCGCTGCGGGGGTGTGGGGAAGCCCTAGGCCTCCAGGGGGCCCGATTCCTTCGGTAGCAAACCATGGGAGCCTCGTATACCCTCTGAATTCCGTCTTTAGCGTCGACTAGCGTCGATTAGCGTTTGGGAGTCGATGAGATATCGCCAATTTAGCAACCGTTAGCGTCGATTGGCGTCGATTTAGCGTCGACCCGCGTCGATTTAGCGCCGACGAGCGTCGATTCGCAAGAGAGCCGACAAGATGGGATGGCAGGCTCCCATGCGTTGCCACCGCAGGCTCCGATTCCCTCGAAACCCTGGTTCTCTACGCCAGTCTCGGCACCTAGGACCGGGGCTCTCATGGCTTGCTACCGAAGGACCGAGGACCAGTACCGGGACCGAGGATCGAGGATGGCTTGGTACCGGTACCGAGACCGAGGACCGAGGATCTCGGTACCGAGGACCGAGGACCGAGGGCTTCGAGGGCTTCGAGGACCGAGGCTCCCGGACCCCTCACAGTGGCCCCTCGCAGAGCAGACGGGGGCTCCCGCGCCCGAGCCCACGCCTTGTTAGGGGACGGCGGCCGTGCCCGAGCTCGCCGCAGAGACTCCCAGACCGCCTCGCGGACCGTCTCGGGCCGCCTCGCGGAAACGGCGCGGCCCTCTCTCGCTGACCACGTGCTCCTCGAAGAGAGCGGCCTCTGCGCCGCGGCGGCCCCCGTCCCGCCGCACCTGGGGCAAGGGCCCGAGGTGGGTCTTTCCCTCCGGCTCCCTCGCTGGCGCGGCTTCCTTCGGGATCGGCCACGGTCCTCGCTGGTCTCTGCACCTGGACTTCTCTGGCCCTCTTGGACCGGGCGAAAGGGGGTGGGCTGATGATGATGATGGTGATGATGATGATGATGATGATGATGATGATGATGACGATGATGATGATGATGATGACGATGATGATGATGATGATGATGATGATGATGATGGTGGTGATGATGATGATGATGATGATGATGAGATGATGATGATGATGATGATGATGATAATGACGATGATGATGATGATGATGATGATGATGATGATGATGACGATGATGATGACGATGATGATGATGATGATGATGATGATGACGATGATGATGATGATGATGATGATGATGATGATGATGATGACGATGATGATGATGATGATGATGATGACGGTGATGGTGATGATGACGATGATGATGACGATGATGATGATGATGATGATGATGATGATGATGATGATGGTGGTGGTGGTGGTGGTGGTGGTGGTGGTGGTGATGATGATGATGATGATGGTGGTGGATCTTTTTGGCCCTCTTGGATCGGACGGAAGGGGGGGGGTGGCTATGGGGAAGGGGAGCGTCGAAGACTGCCGCATGCAGCCGGTGTCGGCCTCGCCGCTGGCCGCTCTGCTCGAGATACATCTTGGCGCCTCCAGCGCCGGCAGGGCGCAGGGAAGAAAGCCCGCTGCGCGAGCCGGTTTGCTACCCCCGGCCTGGACGGCCCCCGTTCGTTCGACCCCCCCCCCCCCTCCCCACCTCAGTCAAGCAGTGGCGAAGCGTCCTGGCGAGCCTATAGGCCCACCAAGCAGTGTTCTGAGAGCCTTTTGTGGTCTGCACGAAATGTTAGCACATTTCTGGCCGAGGCTGTCTTGTTTGAACACATCGGGTTTGTGTTCTAAGAACATGTGATCTGTACTTCGAACATGTCTGGGTTTTAAGAACATAGGAATGCCGGGACGGTCGGTCCCCGCTCAAAGACCTCCATGTTTCCGCAGGCGACTTTTTCCCGCCCCCAGGCCCCGACACTTGTCGACGAAACAGGAGGCCATTCGGGAAAAAGACGACAAACGCGGGGATGCACCCCGTTCGTTCGACTTCCCCTCCCCTTCGGGCGAAGGGAGCTATGCACATGCACCGATCCTGGCAAGGCCCATCCTTGACCCAGAATCGGTGCATATACCTTCCTGGCCAAGGTCGGAGAGCGTATGCACCGATCCTGGGCTCAGGATGGGCCTGGCCAGAATCGGTGTATGGACATAGTTCTTCCTCTACCCCTCCCCAGCTCCGTTTTCTCCCAGGCGCTGTTCCCCCCCCCGCCAGCCCCCGACAGTTGTCGACGAAACATGAAACTGCTCAAACAAATAATAGGGGCTCGTCTTTTCCTGCTCCCGCGGCCAGGCAAAGCCCAGGGCTCGACTCACGAACGATGGGAGCTATCATGGGACTCGTGGGATCGAGCAGGCGTTAAGACCTGCGGTTCGATTTCCGTCGGTGTGTGTGACCACGCTGTTTAGGTTCGGGTGCAGCCCGATCCCAGAGGCATCCTGCGTCTGCGACCTGCGAACTGCTGCCTCCGAGGGGTCCGATCCGCTCCGACGTATGTATGGACGCATCCCGAATCGAGGAGGTACGCCCCCATTATATCGTATCTCCTATGGTTGGGCCCCACGTGTTCTGGCCCGTTCGAAAACCCCGCGACGCCTGGGGTGGGGGTCGACGTGCCCCCTTGTTCTGTGTTGGGCGGCCGGCAGACCTGGGGCAGTCCTGGGAGGAGCATCGGCTCTTGCGGGGCCTTCCGCCATGATTTCGGGGCGTTCCGGGAGCGCCGTGGGGCGGCCGCGGCGCCCGATACAGTTCGGGGGCGGAAAAGAGGGGGGTGATGACTAGGGGGGGGTGGATATCATGGCGTGGGCCATGATATTTCCCCAGATTTCATGGCGCCTCTTCTTATTTCTTTACGTCCCTGGCCATCCCGCTGGGCCGCGCACATGCCGCCGGTCATGATTTGCACCCCCCCCTCTTGGACACCCCCCTCTTGGCCGCTCCCGACAGCGGGTCCAGAGCAGGTTTGGGGTGGGGGCGAAGACAGAAACCCAGAAAATATGGGAAAATATGGGGGCTATTTTTATTTGTGTGTATTTATTTGTGTGTCCTAATTTCCCTTCATTGGGGTCAAGGGATCACGGCGCGTCGCTGGTGCATCGGGGATGCGGTGTTCCCGACTGGGTCCAGAGCAGATGGGGTCAAGGGGCTCGAAGAAGGAGCAACAAATCTCACCATGATCAGAATCTTTGGCACTCCGCGCGGGCTTCTTGGATCTGCGCTGGGGCTCTCCCGGCGGCGCCTCTGGGGCGCTCCGCGCGACAGGGAGGGGGGGCCAGCGCAGATACCAGGAACCCGCGGGGAGCGCCAACAGTTTATGTTCCTGGCGTGTTTTTTTTGTTTTTTTCCTCTTCTAGGGATCGCGGCGCGTCGCTGAATCATTGGCGATGCGGTGCGACCCTCAACCCCGTCTGCTCCAGAGGCCCTCCTCCTCCTCCTCCTCCTCCTCCTCCTCCTCCTCCTCTTCTTCCTCCTCCTCCTCCTCCTCCTCCTCTGGGGGCCTCCGAGGGCGGAGATGATGTTCAGCGTGGGGCGGTGCACGCGGTGTGTGACACCGTGCCCCGGCGTCGTCGTGGCCGGGGCTCGCCGTTTTCGCTTCCGGTGGTGAAAGGAACGCGCCCTCTCCCAGCAGGTGCCCCCCCCGCCAGACGTGTCTCCTCCGAAGAAGGGACAATTCGCCACAAACATACGCTTTTGGCGCTCCGCGGGGGTGTTCTGGGATCCGCGCTGGAGTCCCCCAGCGGCGCCTCTGGCGCCGCCCCTGGCGTGCCGGCCTCCGCGCGCTGGGGAGGGGGGGTCCAGCGCAGAGCCGAGGGATCCGCGCGGAGTGCCGACAGTTTGTGTTTGTGCCGTTTGTCTTTTTGTCTTCTTCTGCTCGGGGGTGGACAGACCTGCTACCCTGACACGTCGTTTAAGGAAGTGGCCGTTTTCGCTTCGCGAGAGGGCGTCGCGGCCGTCATTTCTGCGGGTCCAGATCCGTCGGTTTCGGGCCCAGGCCGTTTTCACTAAGGGGAGGTTTACTAAAGGGAGGTGTGTCCACCATCGATATGCATGTTGCACATGCCGAAGCACGGTGAGAGGTCCGTGCTGTCTCGAATATGTGCACCCCCCTGAACCCCCTCGTCACACTCTGCCTCTGATCTCTGGCATGGGGTTTGGTCGTCTCAGTTCGCCTGCCCATCACGTGCCTGTCAGCCCATGACCTTGGCATTCTGCCATGCCCCGACCGAAGCGTGCGCCGAGAGTGCATTAACATGGACCGATCTTGCTTCTTCTATTCGCTCTGCGCAGGAGATTCTGCATCTCTGGTAGTTTACCGACAACTGTCATGAGCAGCTTGTCGTGTGAACGATGACGGAGATGGACATGATCATTGCCAGGTGAGACCAGCCGTGATGAGTGTGTAATCGATGCGCGACGATTGTATTGCCGATGCGAGAAGTGAGACATGCATCGCCCGCGATAGCACGCACACGGCAACTGTCGCGATTCATGCGCGACGTGGGACCCCAGGTTTCTCGACCTCATCCTTGGGACCGGCTTGGCGTCCTCCCAACATACTACTAGTACGAGTGCGTCGTCCCCCCAGGGGCGACGCGCGCACCTAGTACTCTTATAGTACATGCGTCGTGGCCAGCGCTTTCTGGCCACAACGCTCGGGAAACGATGTGCTACAAGATAGGTGTACTGCATGTTCGGGTCGGACGCGCGCCTCCGAGAAGGACACATGTAGTGCTAGCATGCCTTGGTGGATCCCACGGTTTGTCGTCCTGGATCGTTCTTGAGCCGAAGAAGGAAATCCCACATAAACATAAGATTTTGGCGTTCCGCGCGGATTGTTTGGATTAGCGCCAGGCCCCCCTGGCGGCGCCTCCGGCGCCGACCCTGGCGCGCTGGGAGGGGGGATCCAGCGCGAATCCGACAAATCCGCGCGGAGCGCCGAAAGTTAAGTTCATCTGGCTTTCTTCTGTTGAGGGCTCTGGGGCCCGACACGAGGGAAGATTGGCCGTCACGCTCTATTTCGTCTTCCCGAAAGCCTGGGCGGCCCCCTCCCAAGAGCAGATCCCCGCACCCGTCCCAGCGTGGGCCAGGATCTCGAGGCAAGCCCAGCCGTCTCGACGGCGGGGCAGAAAATCACGCGGGCAAGTGAGTTCAGCCCCCCTGATCCTCGATCCTGCAATTCTCATCCCTGCTCTCCTTCGCGATCCGCTCGGAGTCGGTTCCCCTTGCGGTGAATGCGGGCGAATTCCTGCCAAGCCTCGTCTCGCATATTAGGATCGCCCTCATTATCATCGTCTTCGCACCCCATTTCCATAGTCGCCTCCACCTGCACCTCCATCCTCACCTTCGCCTCCATCTCCGTGCCCTCTTCAAATTCGTCTTCGTCTCGATCGTCGTCGTGACATCGACCTTGATTTTCATCCTCTCCTTCAAGCTCGTCTTCATCGTCGCTATCGCCGAGCAGTCGTCGCCCAGGTACCCCCTGTGGGCGCGACGAGAGTCGCTCCTCGCGCATCGCGGCCTGGGCTGGATGGCTGCCCTTCCACACGGGGGCGGCGCGAGGGTACACAGATCACCGCGCGGCGCGCAGCGCATCGCCCAGGCGCGATGCGCGAAACTGGGTAGCGTGGGCCGCCTTCGTCTGCATCGTCATGGTGGCACAGATGCTATCTCGTCTCGTCCTTCACTCGAAGAAGAAAACGCCATAAACATACACTGTGAGCGCTCCTCGCGGATTTCTTGGACCCGCGCTGGGCCCCCCCCGCGGCGCCTCCGGCGCCGACCCTGGCGCGTTCCCCGCACCAATGAGGGGGGTCTGGCGCGCACCCGAGAAATCCGCGCAGAGCGCCAGAAGTTTGTGCTTATTGCGTTTTTCCTGCGTCTACTCACCTACGGCTTGATCTCGTCGTCATCGCCACGGTCACCGGCACAACCGTCGCCCTGACCCGTTCCGCGTGGCCTTCGGCTTGCCTCTGGCAGCCCCCCCTGGGCGCGCCGCGACCAATGTAGCCGCGCTTCGCCGCCCCGCATGTTCGGCCTCCGCGTGCTCTGCCGCGGCGGCGTGCAGGAGGGGGCGGCGACGGCGGTGGGTGGCGGAAGTCCCAGGGCGGTGCGGGGACCACCGCAGGGGCTCGAGCTCAACGGTGTCTTGGCGGCCTCGTGGGCCGTTTCTGTTCTGATCTTTGCTTGCTGTGGCAGGGGCGGAGCGCAGACGGAACTAGGGTTCAGTCGGGCCTGTCCCTCTACAGGAGGAGTAGTCAAACATAGTCAACAAATAGTCAGGGGACGTTTTTTTCTCCCCCCCGTTTTTTTGTTGTTGAATTAAGTTTCATCCAAAATACGCCTGCATGGGGGACACGCCCGAACTAAAACAAGGGAGAGCGATAAGAACACGAGCGAGGAGAGCACAATTCGGGTCGAGCCCTGGACTGCACTGGCAGGGGGCCTCAAGTTGCGCACCGTCAGCACCCCCCAGGCGGTCCTGGCTGGCCTCGCACACCAGTATCGTTTCACCGATCCCTATCCCCATCCCCATCCCGATCCTAGTTGGGGAGATATGCCCCTCGAAACCTGAAGGGAACAGCCTGCATTCCCATGTAAGGAGGGTAAGTCGGCCAGCGGGGTCCAGGCCACGCCAGTGGGGATGAGCTGCGGCTGAGAGCGCTGCTCAACACGGTCACCTTCTCATGGCCGAGGCCCACCGCGGCCGGAGAGAGGTCCCTTTGCTCCTGAAAAGCTTTGCCCGTGCACGAGGGCCGTAAACAGAGTACGGCTCGCCGACCGGTGCTATCTTTGGACGCAGCCTGTGGATACGTGAGGCGTTCCACAGGGAGGGCCTCGCCTTCGAGGATGGAAGGAGTTGCAACCTCTTCCTTGGCGGAAGGCGGCGGGAGGCTGGCGGAAGGCGGCGGACGTACAACGAGGCCACCTCCGCCGGCGGAAGGCGGCGGAAGGCTGGCGGAAGGCTGGCGGAAGGCGGCGAAAGATGCGCCCATAAAGGTGGAAGTGTTTTTGGGTTCAGGGTTACGGGACAGGCCACGTGTAGGGGCACGTTCGTGTCATGCCGCTTCCCAGCTCACCGCAATTACTGTTCATCTCCTGGCTGGCACCACGAAGTTTTCAGCGCTTGGTGCGCGTGACGGCCGATTATGGTAAGCGTGCTGTCCACTATTATTGCCTCCTGCTTTCCTGGTGCTGAATTTTTTGGAGTGACCGTCGTTGCTATCGAGTTTTGAACGCAGCACGTCCCCGTTTCGGCTACTTCTTGTTTGGTGGGAATTCGGATCGATAGGCCCGTGCTTTCTCTCCTCTCTTCGTCTTCTCCTTCGTCCTGATTTCTGTCGCAAGTGCAGTGCCGATTTGTTGTTCAGGCCGCAGTTCAAAGTATGAGTTTGCCTATTGCAGGTCGGCTTGTGCGATGTTTCGGGTCTGCTTGGCGACTTCTTGCTTCGCGCTGTGGTTGTGGCACCCCTGGTGTTTCGGGTGGAAGCAAAAAAGCTCTCTGGCGCTCTTTTGGGCCTCCAGGCGGCCAAGATGGCCTGCAAGATCGCCTGGAGGACCCGAAGATCACCCACGAGCCTCCCAAGAGTGCCCCAAGAAGACCCTAAAACGCCCAAGGGGGCACCAAGACGGCCCAGAGCCGTGGCTGGTCGGCACCTGCCCACACGATCTTCGCTGGCGACAGGCATGTCCGTATCCGTGGCCTCGCGGACCAGGCCCCTGGGCCACGACCCCGCGGATACGGGGCGCTTCTTCGCAGATGCCCCCGCGCGGGACGTAGCCGTGCGACCGCGTATCTTCGGCATCGCACCTCGGATTCCAGCCCGCGTGGGCGCGGATACGGATATGTTCGCCGCTTGCTAGTCCTGAGAGTCGGCGGCGAGCGAGGGGTGGAAGTGAGAGGGAGCAGGTCTTCCCGGAAGGCTCGGAAGCCCCCCCCTGGCCTCCTGAGAAGTTGTCGAAGCCTTCCCCGACGACGCAGACAACCTCTCAGAAGGCCACGCCGCCTTCGAGAAGGCCTTGCTCTCACTCCCCCCCCCGCTCGCCGCCGCCAGAAGACCAGGGTCGTCCCCGTGGGGCGCGGACGTGGCGCGCCGCGCGCGCGTCGCGGCCTCGGGCGCACCGCCGCGCCTCCTCCAGGGGGTGGCCTCGAGAGGGCGCGGACAGAACCGCGCGTCGCGCGTCGCGGGGCGCAGGGGCGCGGAGTGCCGCCACTGGGGAGGCGGGCCCTGACGGCTCCCCAGGCTTGTCGCCGTCCTCGGGCTCTCCGGGGCCCTCCACGGGCCCCATGGGGACTACCAGAGAGCGGCCCGGGAGGGAGGAGGAGCTCGCCCCTGGGGCAGGGCCCCAGGGCTTTATCTCCAGTCGTGTACAAGAGTTGGGTGGCCTATGGGGCCCTGTGCCAGAGGGCCGCTTCCTCGTCGTCGTCCTCCTCCTCGTCATCGTCGTCGCCCTACTAGTAGTCGTCCTCGTCGTCGTCGTCGTCGTTGTCGTCGTCGACGTCCTTGTCCTCGTCGTCCTCGTCCTCGTCGTTTTGTCGTCCTCGTCGTCGTCCTCGTCCTCGTCCTCGTCGTCGTCGTCGTCGTCGTGGTCCTCGTCCTCGTCCTCGTCCTCGTCGTCGTCGTCGTCGTCGTCGTCGTCGTCGTTGTCGTCGTCGTCGTCGTCGTCGTCGTCGTCGTCGTCGACGTCGTCGTCCTCGGCGCTGCCTCCTGCGCGCCGCGCGCCCCTCGCGGTCCTGGCCGCCTGCTGCTCGGGCGCGCGCCTGAGGCCGCGTCGCTCGAGTGCCTCCGAGGAGGAGCGGCCGCGGCGCTCGAACGCCTCCGGGGAGGAGCGCCGTGGAGGAACACGCGCCGACACCGCAGGCCCTTCCCTCTTCACCCTGCGGTTAAGTCGGGCATGTCCCTCTAGAGGAGGAAGATCCGAGCATGGGCAAAGCATGGTCCGGGGACCATTTTTCGGCTGTGTTTGGCTATGTTCGAATATTTTGTGACCACTTTTCTGTTTTCGCCCCAAATCCTGATGCAGGAGGACGTGCCCGACCTAACCCTACGGCTGGATTCGCCCCGAAGTCCTGGTCGGGTGGCGCCCCAGGAGAGGTCTGGGGAGCAGCGGCATCGGTATCCAGACCCCCTCGAGTCTTGGATGAATCACGACGGGAGGTTTTTCATTATTTTCGGGAGATCGATTCGGGATGAAAAGCTGGTCCCGGGGAATAAGTCGAGACCTCTGCGGGTCGACGTCACGAAAAAATCATGACGTCGGGGGTCTTGGCACCTTGTCGTGCCGTCCCCCCCAGGAGCGGCCGCCGTGCGACCCGCCGGACGATGTGCGCGAGCGAGCGGAAAGCCGAGGCATGGTCCTCCTGAGCGCTGGCGCTGGGCACGTCGTGTACGTTACGGCGGGGGGCGACGGCGATGTGGACTCCGAGGCGAGCCTGCTGGTGTTCGACTGCGGGCGCCACAGGGAGCTGGTCTTCGTGCACATCCCGAAGAACGCGGGGACCACCATCGAGGATGTCGCCCAGGGCAGGTTCTCGGAGAAGACAGCGCGGCATAGGCGCAGACTCTCAGAGCTCCGCGCGGGCTTCTTGGATCTGCGCTGGAGCCCGGCGCCAGGGAGGGGCACCTTCCAGAAATCCGCGCGGACCTCTGGAAGCTCATGCTGATGCCGTGCTCTTCTTGCTCTAGGTATGATGGGCCTGTTTTCCACCACCACCACCACAAGTTGAAGGGGGGAGGGAGGTGTAAAAGGAGGAGGAGGAGGAGGAGGAGGAGGAGGAGGAGGAGGACCCCCCTCCGCCACCAACTCGTGGTGGCGGCGGTGGAAAACAGGCCCATCATAGGTACATCGACTGGGGCCGCTTCCAGCACAACTGGGGGGCGGACACGCAGCGGATGCCCGACGGCAGCGCGTGCAGCCACTGGCACGTGCCTCCCTACCTGAAGGACCCCCCGAACCCCTACGCGAGGGCCGGGACGGACGTCTTCTGCGTCACGCGCGACCCCTGGTCCAGGACGTCGGGGGTACGCAGACGTCGGCCCAGACATGCTCGCGTCGTAAAAATTGTCCCAGTGCGACCCTACCCAGGAGTTGGAACCCCTAGGAAAGCAGCATCAGTAGTGACAGTAACGCTAAGCTAAAGCTAAGCTAACGCTAAGCTACAGCTAAGCTAAAGCTAAGCCACAGCTAAGCTAAAGCTAAGCTAAAGCTTAGCTAAAGCTAAGCTAAAGCTAAGCTAAAGCTAAGCTAAAGCTAAGCTAAAGCTAAGCCACAGCTAAGCTAAAGTTAAGCTAAAGCTAAGCTAAAGCTTAGCTAAAGCTAAGCTAAAGCTAAGCTAAAGCTAAGCTAAGGCTAAGCAAAAACTGAGCAACAGCTAAGCTACAGCTAAGCTCAAGCTAAGCTAAAGCTAAGCTACAGCTAAGCTAAAGCTAAGCTAAGCGCTAAGCGAAAAGCTAAGCGAAACGCTAAGCTAAAGCTAAGCTACAGCTAAGCTAAAGCTAAGCCAAAGCTAAAGCTAAAGCTAAAGCTAAAGCTAAAGCTCCCAGGGGACTGGGGGGAACCGCTCCCAGGGGACCGGGGGAACCGCCCGGGGCGTGTAGCACTGCCCGGCCCCTTTAAGCTAAGAGAGTAAGAACCCTTCTAGGCAGAGCCTAGGTAGGGAAAAAATCCGGACGGCAAGTTTTTTCTTATTTTCGACCCCCGGGGGCCCTCGCCGGGCCCCGGGACCGTCAACAAAATCGGGATGACATACCGGTCCCAGTGAACGGTTCGGGACTTCAGGGACGCCGTCCTGAAAAAATCAGGACGTCGCGTGTCTGTGGGATCAGCGGGGTTTTGGAGCGAGCCCAGCTTGAGGCCGATGTTTCTCTTGTCCTGGAGCCGTCCAGGTCGATTTTCCGCTAACCCCGCCTGCGGCCCTATCCCACCTTCACGCCCCCCCGAAGGATGCGCAGCGAGTACACCTACACGCTGACCTGGACGCCGTATCGGGCCACCGTTCCAGACGGTCCGCCCTGCTCCCTTGAGGCCTTCAACGGGTGGGTGACGCAGCGGCTGCGCAGGGTCGAGAGTGGGCTGCAGCCATATGCGCTGGACTGCCACCTGGTGCCGCAGTGGAGCTTCGTGGAGGGCCCCAACGGGAGGCGCTGGTGCAAGGAGGCGATCCCCATCAAGCAGCTGACGCCGCGGTTCAACGCCCTGATGCAGGCCTACGGCCTGCCCCTCCGGCTGGCCCCGCACGAGAAGTCGAACCCGTCTGCCGGGAGGTGTCCAGCGCTCTCGAGCAGCCCCCTCGAGGCAACGTACTGGGCCTCGACCCGGGCAATCATGCGCCGCGTGTACCGGCAAGACTTCCTCCACCTGGGCGACTCCATGCTGGGCCACGCTGGTCTGCTGGTCAACGCGAGCGCGGAGACGGTCGCCTGACCGCGATGCTGCCAGCGTGGTACACGTTGTCAAACTGCCCGCCCAGGGCTTGGCCCACTGCGCCACAGCTCGGTGTTTGCATCGCCTGCTAGACTCCCGCCAGCGTGCGGCAGGAGTCGGGCCCGCTGCGCAGGAGCCTGCTGCTTGCACCGAGCCCCACCGCTTGCGCTGAACCACGGACGGGTCGGGATGGGGACAGGTTGAACGATACAACCTCGGGATAGGTCGTATCGTTCAACCTATCCCCATCCGCACTATGAAGGTGGCCTTGAAGGCGGGCTTCAAGGACCAATGAGGAGCGCGGCATAAGATGAGCCAGGCTGTGGACAAGACGAGGGGCACACCTGATGGAACGCACAACCGTCAAACAGCAAATAACAAATCGCCCCCATCCAGTAGGGGACGGAGGCCCCTCGGAACCCGCAGAGAGCAGCCTATGCCCCCCCCCCTGCAGGGAGGTAGATCGGCCAGTGGGGCCAAGGCCAGGCCGGTGGGGACGGGGATGGGTCAAACGATGCTCGCGATGAATCCGGAGCGTTCCGGAACGCTCTGGAACGGCCGCGGCGCCCGATGCATCCTCCAGGGCCGCAGGCCCAGACCCCCGACGTCAAAATTTTTTAATGGCGTCGACCGCCAGAGGTCCCGACCCGTTCCCCGGGATCGGTTTTTCATCCTGAGTCGTTTTTGATGGTCCCTGGGCCCGGCGAGGGCCTCCAGAGGTTTACAAAACCTCGCGTCGTGATTTTTTCATGACTCGACGGGGTCTGGGGGGTTGATCAGGGATCCCCGGCTCGTTCCTCCTTCCTCCCAGTCTTAAATCGGGCACGTCCCTCTACAGGAGGAATATCAAAAAATAGTCAAACAACAGTCTGGGGACTATTTTTGAGTATGTCTTGACTCTGTGAATATTTCTACTGTATTTATTTATGATGCTCCAACCTACTTTGGCCTCGGTCCCCGCAAATAATTTCGAGCACCAGAGAAGTACCGAAACTCTAGGGTTTTTACCTAACAGCGAAGACTGATAGGTTTCTAGTAGGGTAGAACATCATGACGCCCCAGGGGGGTCTGGGCGCGACCCGGGGGAGGATGCTGGGGCTTTCTCTTTAGCCAACAGTTACACACTTCGTGTTCGTCGAGGTCTCAAAACTCCATTCCTGGGCCACATTCTGAATGCCCGGAGCCAACTGTAGGCCACTTCGTGCTCTTCGAGTTCCCAGAACTCCATTCCCGGGCCACATGTTGAATGCCCGGAGCCAACTGTAGGCCACTTCGTGCTCTTCGAGTTCCGAGCGCTCCATTCCCGGGCCACATTTTGAATGCCCGGAGCCAGCTGTAGGCCACTTCGTGCTCTTCGAGTTCCCAGAACTCCATTTGAATGCCCGGAGCCAACTGTAGGCCACTTCGTGCTCTTCGAGTTCCCAGAACTCCATTCCCGGGCCGCATTTTCAATGCCCGGAGCCAACTGTAGGAGGAGCAGGGGCAAGAGCACGAGGAGGAGGAGGACGAGCAAGACGAGGAGGACGAGGACGAGCACGAGGAGGAGGAGGAGGAGGAGCAGGAGAAGGAGGACGAGCAGGAGGAGGAGGAGGAGGAGGACGAGGACTCCTACATGCGAGGACGAGCAGGAGGACGAGCGACTGCGAGGACACCAGAATTCTACACCAGGACTCCCACATGAATCTCAAGGGCAATGCTTCCAGATATGCTTCTACACATCGCTGTTAGGTTGCTTTGCCGGGATAATTACGTGTCGGGCCCTGGGAGAGACTCGTCTGACACTGTTTCGACACTGTTTCGACACCCTTCTGGGTGCTCGAGATCATTTCTGGGATGGTCCTTGAGTGCGATGGGAGCAACATAAGCATTCACATTTTTCCTCAGAAATCTGCCTGTAGGGGGACATGCACGACCTAATCCCTTTCCGATCCGGTTCCTTAATCTAAGCTTCCTAGATGGGGTCGGAGTAGATGGGCTCGGAGGATCGCGCAGCATCGTCGATGTATCGCCGATGCGGCTCGATGTGCAGCCCGCTTTGCTTCACATCAACGTCGCAGATGCATCGCCGACGTCGACGATGCATGGCCAGTGCATCGCCGATGCATCGCCGATGCATCGCTGATGTATCGCCGATGCATCGGCGATGCGGCGCGATCCTTCGACCCCGTCTGGACCCCATCTAGGAGGCCTCTACTTAAGCCCTGCTGGGGACACGGGGAGCGGAGGAAGGCCGCCCGGCCGCGCGCCGGAGAAAGCTGCGCAGAGGCGCGCGCGGCCCGAGGGCACGGCGAGCCCCCCGCCCTCTCTCTATCTAGGCCCCCCAGATGGGGTCCGAGGAGGAGGAGGAGGAGAAGGAGGAGGATGAGGAGGAGGAGGAGGAGGGGGAGGGGGAGGAGAGGAGGGAGGGGGAGGAGGAGAAGAGGAGGAGGGGGGAGGAGGGGGAGAGGGAGGAGGAGGAGGAGGAGGTGGAGGAGGGGAGGAGGCGGAGGAGGAGGAGGAGGAGGAGGAGGGAGGAGAAGGGTGAGGGGGAGGAGGTGGGGCAGGAGGAGTAGGAGGAGGAGGAGGAGGTGGAGGAGAGGTGGAGGAGGAGGAGGAGGACGAGGAGGACGAGGACGAGGAGAGAGGAGGAGGAGGAGGAGGAGGAGGAGGAGGAGGAGGAGGAGGAGGAGGAGGAGGAGGAGGAGGAGGAGGAGGGGAGGAGAGGAGGAGGAGGAGGAGGAGGAGGAGGAGGATGAGGAGGAGGAGGAGGAGGAGGAGGTGGAGGAGGAGGAGGAGGGAGGAGGAGGAGGAGGGGTGGAGGAGGAGGAGTGAGGAGGAGGAGGAGGAGGAGGAGGAGGAGGAGGGGGAGGAGGGAGGAGGAGGAGGAGGAGGGGAGAAAGGAGGAGGAGGGGAGGGGGGGAGGGGCAAGCTAGGTGCGCTCGCGTCATATCTGACGTCCTACCCCTCCCTCCCATCCCTTACCATGGCGCTGATTTTCTCTATCCGCGGACGCGTGTCGTAGCGGACCTGTGGCTCCGCGCGCGCGTGCGTAGTGGGTGGTGGTGCACGTGCGTGCGTGCGTGCGTGTGTGCGTGGTTGTCGTGGTGGTGGTGGTGGTGGTGGTGGTGGTGGTGGTGGTGGTGGTGGTGGTGGTGGGTGGTGGTGGTAGTGGTGTGGTGGTGGTGGTGGTGATGGTGGTGGTGGTGGTGCTGGTGGTGGTGGTGGTGCTGGTGGTGGTGGTGTTGGTACTGGTGCTGGTGGTGGTGGTGGTTGTGGTGGTGGTGGTGGTGGTGGTGGTGGTGGCGGTGCGGCGCGGTGGTGGCGGGCGGATGGGCGCGTGAGAAAAAGGCCCGCGCTGGGGCGAGAACGCCATCCTGAACGACGGAGGCCAAACACCGATCCGAAAATGAGGCCCACGCTGCAGCGGGAGCACGATTCGGAACGATTCGGGAGCAGAAATGAGGCCAGCGCTGCAGCGGGAACACGATTCGGAAGGAGCGGGAGCCCGAAAATTAGGCCAGCGCCTCAGCGAGAGCAGCATTTTAGAAAAAAACACAAGCGAAAACCCAACTCCGGGGAATCCTGCGTGTAAAAAAAACAGTACGCGGGGGGGTGCCGAACATCTTCCGGACGCCATCAGGGGAAGTGGGAGAGTATTTTCATATTGTGTAATTGTGGAGGAGGAGGATGGAGGAGGAGGAGGAGGAGGAGGAGGAGGAGGAGGAGGAGGAGGAGGAGGAGGAGGCCTCCTCTCTAGGCCTCCTCTCTCTAGGCCTCCTCTCCAGCCCCCCGCCCTCTCTCTCTAGGCTTCCTCTCTCTAGGCCTCTAGATGGCGTCGGAGGATCGCGCCGCATCGGCGATGCATCGCCGATGCGGCTCGATGTGGCGCCCGTGTTTTCCCAGGCCGGCGTCGCCGAGGCATCGCCGACGTCGCCGATGCATCGCCGATGCATCGCCGATGCATCGCCGATGCCGCGCGATCCTCCGACCCCATCTGCTCGGACCCCAGCTAGGAGGCCTCTACTCTCCTCGGTCCTCGCGGGCGCCATGGCGCTGGTCGAGGCGGGCGTGGTCCTCCAGGCCAGTCAGGGCGGGCGTGGTCCTCCAGGGCATGATCGCGCCGCAACAAGATCAGGACGGGAGGTTTTTGGCCACTTTCGGCCTCGGGGGGCCCTCGTCGGGCCTCGGGACCGTCCACAAAACTATCCAGGACGAAGCCCCGGTCCTGTGGCAAGGGTCGGGACTTCCAGCGACGCCGTCCTGAAAAAATCAGGGTGGTAGGCTTGTTTCCCACTGCCGCCACCAGAAGCAGGAGGGGGAGGGAGTCCTCCTCGTCCTCCTCCTCCTCCTCCTCCTCCTCCTCCTCCTTCCCCCCTCCAACTTACGGACTTACGGTGGTGGTCGTGGACGCCGTCGCCTTCGCGAGATCGCCGTCGCCGTCGCCGTCACCGGTGGCCGTCGCCAACACCGCGGTCGTCGCCGTCGCCGCTGTCGCCTGCCTGCGAGATCGTCGTCGTCGCCGTCGCCCTCACCGTCGTCGTCGGCGGCCGCGAATGAGGACGGTGGGGTAGGGGCGGGGTAGGTCGGTGCGCTCGCGCCACATGAGACATCCTACCTCTCCATCTCATCCCTTAGCATTAACTATGTTGAGCCCCCCTCGGTTCACGGAGTCCAGAGTGGCAGAAGACGTCGGATATTAAGAGCAGGGGGGGACATGGGGGGTGCGGAGGGGAACTCGTGGAGGAGGTGGATGGGGGGGTCGGACTGAGGACGGCGGCGAGTCAAGAAGGCAGTACGAGGAGGAAAGTGGAGACACATGATAATCGCAATCAGGGGATGAAACGGAAAAGGATGCCTGGAGGAGTTCGACGGCTGGGACGGGGAGGGAGCGTGGGAGGAGGAGTACAACAAGCACGGACAGCAAGGGATGACGAAGAGTAGGCCGGCTGCGGACGCAACGAGATCTGGCTGGTGCCCGCTCGCGTCCTTCGCAAGCAATGCAGTGCGACACCAGGGAGAGGTATGCTTCCTGATGGTGGCATGCAGGAGGCTCCCAGTTTCGCAAGGGATATTATGGTGCAAGCCCATGTAATGGCACACCTGCGCTGAGAAGCATTGAGTAGCACAGCGTAGCATATGTAGCGTTGCATACAGTGACAACACGTAGCAGCAGTGAGCATGTCATGTCATTGAATAACACAGTGCATCATGCAGCGCATTGCCAGACATGAGGCAGCATACCAAGCCATTCCCTCGGTATCGCGTATTGCACACATCTGTACAGGAACACGTCACAGCGTAGCACCTCACATCAGA